CCATAGCTGCGCACTCCGTGAAATTCTTTTTGAGATGGTTTTCCCGAAATTTTTCTTGCGCCTTGACTGCGGTAGCCACGTCCCTAAATTTTTTTTTACCTGACTTAGTCGAGTTTTCAAAGAATTGGAAAAACTATTTTGATTATTTGCAAGTCTGAACAAGTCACTTGCACAATTTAAAGTGCGAAGTTGCCACTTGCTGAGTTTGAGTTTGAGGGATTCTGAAAAGATGTTTAGAATTTGATATTAGCTGCGTTTTCTAGGGTTTTTGATCTTCAGCATTTATGTTTTGAATTTATTTTGTAGTAATAAGACTGAGTAGTATGCGGTTTAGTGTATGTACCAGCCAGTGGCGGTTCCAGGATTTCCGTGCGGGGGGTTTATCTGCGTTGGAAGCCTTAAAAATTTGATTATTGTCAATTTCATGAGACGCCTGATTTTTTAGCGAGTAATTCGCTAGAATTTTCCATTTTTTGATGTAAAATCAATTAACTTGATTCCTTTATATGCGATGGTCTCTTTGTATGAAATGGCGCAGTAGAAACAATGAATATAAAGGATAATCGTTCCTAAATAGTAGTCTGATTCATTGCAAATACCCGGTTTATCTAAATTTTCGTCTGCGTTTATCGAAAACAATCGAACGAAGTAGATGAAACATGGAAATAGTAGTCTGATACACGATTCTTAAGATTGCGAATTCCCGGATTACCTAAGCTTCCACCAGCTCTTAGCGCTTGTCTTCGAAAATACTCTACTCCTGGCTTTTACTTCGCTATGTGAGTTTGACAAAGTTTTGCGCATATACTGCGAATTTCGCTCGATCCATATTCTAGAAGTATGATTGGTGGTTGCCGGTTCGCGCCTTTTCCAAACATACCCACTTCTTCTATGTTACCTTCAGATGGCAGGCATTACAAGATTGTGCAGGTGTGATTGAAAATAGCTAAAGCAAACCTCTTAGACGTAATTACAGGAAATGGGAAAATATGGTATCAGGACGGTGTTTCGTTCTGTAAAAAACTAATCGCGTGAGTGAAGTCTTAAATCAAATCACGTATTTATTTGATGGGATAAAATACAAGCTTTATTTAGACAAAAGCATCATTTTTCGGCTGCGCGCCTCATCAATCCCTCAGAGTTTGCTGGCTTCAAGTGGGTCAGCGATCCTGAGGAAGATCTCGTGCCGGGTGCTTATTTGGCTATGTAAGTTCTAAATTCGTTCCGATAAACTGAAAGTTTTCGAAATGGTTCTCTAACAGATTTTGAAAATTATAGGTCGAAAAGGGAACGATTCGGACCTTTCAAGAATATTCCAACACCTTCCCAGCTCAGACCATTGTGTTCTTACGTTATACTCCAGGTAGAGTACATAGTCTCATTGAATTCTTTCTTTTTCTAAGAAGCTGTTTTAGGAATTGACTAAGCCCGGTATGTTCGCATACCAGCGTATAACCCAAATGGATCTTTAAGCTGTTGATGATGTTGATTGAATGTTGATTAAATAAATATAATATACCTCCCATGTGCTGTTTTGAATCAGTTATCATCTAATATCTCGATTTCTTCGAAAGATTCAATTATAAGTAAGTCATAGGGATTAATAGCACGATTTGGTCCAAACAATGGTTGTTGCGCCAAACAACGCTTTCAACCGCGGAAATGGCGAGAACTAAGAGAGATATAGTTCATAAAATGTGGAGTGCCAACATATATTGAAAATTTAGCGCTCCTAACATCGTCTACCACCATCGCCTTCGATCCCTCCGTGACTATGAAGAAACTAATGACGACTACGCATAGCTTTTAGCACGCATTGCTCGCATCCCTGGGGTCTTGATAGTTCCCCCAGAAACTTCAAATGGGCTGCAAATGTTTTTCGCACCTGGAAGATACTATGCATGGTTGGTCTAAGGCATACGTTTTCTATTACTGATTTTTCTTGTTTCAGGACCTTGCCAAATACATGGTTCGGTCCCTATGCAGAAAAGCCAAGTTGCGCCACACTCCCTTGTGGCAGTACCTATATAATTTTGAGGGTGAGCGATAAAGGGTTGATGGTAGTTTAACTGTATCATTTCATTTACAGAAGATGCATGTAGACATCGTGGCGGGGGGTGTGTCGAGGTCTCTTCTAAGGTTTATCGAAGAGATTACAGTGTAGGTCTCAAAAGTTGGGGTCGCTTACTTCTAGAAATATCAATATTTTAGACCTCATCAAGAGTATACGGCGCCACGAATGTCGCCGGACCAACTTCCAGGTGTGAGAAGGCTTAGACGTGAAGAGCTCAACCTGTGTGAAAGACAATGGAAGGCGTCAAATGGGGTGCCGCTAACCTTCCGCCGGCCCTGTCCAGATAATCAATGTAAAG